GACTTCTCGCTTGCTTTTGTCTGGGGGTCCATGCGTAATAAAAGCTAAGAAATATCTGGCACAATGATGCATACCAGTCGTATATATACACATATGTACATATAAATATTTTTTTACACTTGATAAGATGTTGTCTCTCATTTGATCATGCAGATGAAAAACGTTCAATATTTTCTCATCACACTGATAAAAAAAACATATGAATAAAATTAAATTAATTTCATATAACAAAGAGAAAAACACATTATCTTTAAAGCAAAATAAACAATAAATTGCCTAAAATATGATGACAATTTACTCATTCACCTTTTGACCTATTTGCGTGACAATGTTTATAAAGAAACCAAAAGTTGGTTTGGGTAGTTGAAAAATATGTAAATGAAGTCGGAGAATTTAGATGCTTTGCACAGGCTTCCGCTACGAGTGGCACAAATCTTTAGCTTATTAGCACATTTTATTGCCTATTCCAGGTCCGTTTTGTTGTTGCTTTTTGTTGTTGTTGTCAGGCGAAGCAGCTCGCATATAATATAAAACGGAAATGAATTTATAATGCACGAGTTTTTCCCTTTATGTTTATCCTTTCCTATATATACATATATATATCGCTAGCTGTTGTTATTTTTTATGATGTCTGCCATAAATTGTTGGCCAAAAGCAAATACACACACGTACACACACACGCATACAGACAGAGACACGCTGACTGGCAAACAACTAACTCATTTTGTGGTTTTCACCTTTTTTTCTGTGGCAATTGTCTGGCTCACAAGCTTGCTTCTTTTTTATATAAAAGTCGCGATTCCGATTCAGATTCAGCTGCGGCTCTGTGAGAGTGTGTGTGTGTGTGAGTGTGTTCGCATTGTTCAATATTATGCGAAAGTGTGAGCTTGTGTGTGTGTGTGTGTGTATGTGTGGCTGTTTGCCTTCCACTGTTGGGCTGGGCGTGTGACAGCTCAATATATTCGCCATTTGTCGCCGTCGCTATTGCCTTCGCCATCGCCATCGCCATCGTCGTCGTCCTTCGCGCCCACAGGAGCTAGTCACAAGGTGGCTGCGGTTGCAAAACTGTTGAGCACAAGCGAATGCCTTGGCCGCAGACGTGAGGGCATGCATGGAAGGTAGCAAAGAGCCGTAGTCATTGCCATCGACATATGAAGAAGCACACACATGTGGGCGCAAGTTGCTGTTGTTGTTGTTGTTGTTATTGTAGTTGGAAATGCAGGAAAATCAATTTCGTTCTCCATTTGCAGTTGGCAATTTGCATAATAAGGTCGTTTGGCGCAATTTGCATGTGAATGTGATAAATTCAACGGGTGGCGCACGCGGCGTATACGTTACACACACACACACAAACAGGCAGCCAACAAATGTCTCCATGTGTGTGTGTTTGTTTTTTTGTGTGCGCCTTTTCAGTTAGCCCCACACTCGCCGCAAATGAAAAGTATAGCTGTATATTAAATAAGTAGGTGTGTCCATGTCATGGCAATGCCAACTACCAACAGCTGCCAGCTGCCAGCTACCAACAGGCAAGAGCCAACAACCAACAGGCAACTGCCAACTGCCACAAAGCAACTGCCAATTGCTGCTGACTGACTGTTGGCGTTTCGTTGCTGGTCAACTGCCTGCCCCCGCTGCCTCTGCTGCCCCCGCTGCCTCTGCTGCCTCTGCTGCTGCTGCTGCACAATTGCCGTGCAATCATAAAACGTGAAACTTCAACGCGCCAAAATGTCGTAAAAGCAAATATGAGAATTTTTTATATTTTTTGTGTGTGATTTAAACGCTTTGGCGTTGCTTTTATTATAGCATTCGAAAAAAAATTGCTGGGCGTTTATATCTAGCTCTAGCTCTGTGTGAATTGTGGACTGCAGTGACAGGCTTTCGTCTCTAGGCCATGGCTTTCTATTCACTTCTCTCTCTCTCTCTCTCTCTCTCTCTCTCTCTCTCTCTCTCTCTCTCTGTTTTTGCTTTTGGTCAGACGATTTGTAATATTGGAGCAGCGGCTGCATAGGCAGAGCCAAATGCTGCCGGACAGTCGCTCCGCATGCAGTCGTGCGGGCATAATTCATGTGACAGCCGGCAGGACTCTCTTTTTTGTTGTTCTTGTTCTTGTTGCTGTTGTTGTTGTATATTTATTTTTGTTATGCTGCCCGACTGCACTTTCTATTTTACATGCAAAATATGGCTGGCAGCGATTCTTTTTCTGCTACTATTTTTCTGGCTTACTCCCATGACTGCAAATAGCATTTTGGCGACTAGAAATACCTTCTAAAATCGATTGAATATGTCTAACATTTTGTGACAGTTAAGAAACAATTTTTAATTTCAAAAATATGTATGGAATCATCGAGACGAATATGTATTTTCGTAGAAGTTTTTTATTTTTTATTTATTTATTTTTTATTTGTTTAGTTATTTATTCACTTTATTTTTTTT